CTATCGATTTTGAAATTTCATCAATTGATGTTTCGGATATCACGAGAAAAGAAAGTCACAAAAATGTAGAATATATTGAAAAAATTTCTAGAGTAATTATTGAGAGAATTCGCACTTATGCGAAATCTCAGAACTATAAAATTCAAGCTATTGGACTTGGTGCTCACATAAAACCGAGAGGCAAAATAAATGGAAAGAATATTAATACATTGTTGTTTGAAGCACCAAGCCTAGCATCTAAGTTGTGGCTGGAACTTGATATTTTGCCATTTATTTTTGGTACAAGAGGAAAAAACGTTGATGAACGAGCCAGTTCAGCAATTAGAAAAGCTGTTATTTGGTAATTAAATAAATGCACTTGGATCAACCTTCATTTTATGCAAATAAATTTCACTGATCAACCATCATTATTGTAGGATAAGTCCGCAAATGCCAGGTTCAATTCCAAGAATTTCCGTTGGATTCAGACATGAAGTTGAAGTCGACTTAAACGGAATTGTGAAACTAGTGGATCTAGAACATTATGAAAATACCGTGTGCCCAGAAACTTGGAAAATTTTATTAAAAATTGTTGATCAATTAAAAACCAAAAAAGTTAAAGCCTCATTTTTTAATGCGACACCTCAGGGTGGTGGGGGTAATATATATATTTTAAATGGTTTTTGATTTACAGGGCCTTTTTTTTTTATTCATAAAAAAGGCCCATTTTTTATCAGGGTTAGAGGGGTTAAATAATATGGAGTATCAAAAAATGAGCCTTTTTTTTGAATAAAAAAATGGACCCTGTGAATCAAAAAGGATGGTTTGCGTGTTTAATATTTAAGATCGGATAAGAGAATTTTTTTTGATTTAGTTGCTCTTATGCGTCATGCGCTTATTCGTTTCTGTCGTCTCTTAAAACTGGATTTCCATTGGTTCGTGGCCAAGCCAAGGCCGGAAATTTTCGACATTACGAAGAGGAAATTTCACAACATTTTGCAGGTACATTTAATAATTGGACAAATATTTTTTAGTATAGCATATAAATGTGTTGTTTTTACACGTGATACAGGGCGTAGGGCCTTCTGACGCGCGTTTGACACAAGATGATAAAGATGCATTTATAAATTGGTCAGATAACAACGTTGAACGTTTCTGGTGCGATGAAGAAGGGCCAATTAAAACAAGTGACGTTATTATTATTGACGATCCGCAAGGTAAAGTTTAAAAAATTCACAGCTATTTAAGTCTTAAATATAACTTTTTTTTTTTATGTTTTAGTGTGTGGTATTATTCCACATATTAAGAAATTAAACCCAACTTGCAAAGTCATTTATCGTAGTCATATAGAAAGTAAGTGCATAATATTTCGCGATTTATATGCTTCGCAATCGGAATGTTAATGTGATTGCTTTCAAGCAGCTTTCCTAATATATTTACATGGTTCACAAAAATAGTTTGTGCTGACCTTATTAGAGACAACCCAACTGGTCCCCAAGCGGAAGTTTGGGATTTTCTCTGGGGGTTTATCTCGCAAGCGGATCTTTTTATATCCCATCCTATAGAAAATTTTGTGCCAGACAATGTTCCCCGTAAAAAAGTACGCTGTTTTTCAATTATTATTATTATTAATTAGTGGGTCGCCAAAAGAATAATTTGTTCTTTAATACTAGGTTGTCCTCCTTCCAGCATCTACAGATCCATTAGATGGGTTGAACAAAGATCTGAATCAATCGGATCTGAATTATTATAAATCGGTTTATAATAGATTATCTATCGACCAATGTGGTGTTGAAATTGATTTCAATAGGCCTTATGTTGTTCAAATTGCAAGATTCGATCCTAGTAAAGGTATATCTAATTACATATACAGTCAATCCTGGATATAGCATTAGCTACGATTCATTTCGTCTAAAGTTATAAAATTTATTTGCCTATAAATACCTTTTTATTGTCATTTTTTTAAGCTAATGGTGTAATTGTAGCCAGGTTGACTATAATTAGTAATTTAACATATTTTAGCAACTAAATAAGGAATAATTTCATTATAGGCATTCCACTTGTAATTGAATCATTCAAGATTTTCCGTGACAAACTTAAAAGAGAGGGCTGGTCTCCTGAAAAAATGCCATCACTAATAATTTGTGGAGCTAGTAGCATTGATGATCCGGATGGTAGCCCAATTTATGATCAAACTTGCTTGACATTACAGAGATCAGAATATGCTGATATTGCGGATGACGTTTCTGTTGTTCGTCTTCCGGCGTGTGATCAAATATTTAATACCATGTTAAGGTGTGCTCACGTCGTGTTGCAGCTTAGTACGAGGGAAGGGTTTGAAATTAAAATTACGGAAGCCTTGGCTAAAGGTATTTATGATATTTTACAGTAGTTTTTATTTGGCATATTATTTACAGTGTATATATATATATTTATATTTATATATTTAAATAATAAATAATTTGTAGGCACTCCGGTAGTGGCATTTAGAGCTGGTATGAAATCGCATTGTAGTTTTTGGTTAGTTTTTGGTTTATGTTTTTAATATTTACAGTTTGTATCATATATTAAGGTGGTATTCCGCTTCAAATCAAGCATGAAGAAACTGGATTTCTTGTTAATATTGGCGATACAGCTCAAGTTGCTGATTATTTAGTTACACTATTTACAAATGATAAATTATATCAAAAGATGTCTTCTTTAGCAAAATCAACAGTAAATGAACAATATTTTACAGTTTCTCAAACATTGAATTGGTTATATTTGATTGACCGATTTGCATCTATAAGAAAGAAAAGTGTGGAGAAAATCGATAA